TGAAAAAAAAAAAAAAAAGACACAGAACCAATAATCACAGAATATGGGCTCAAAAAGTGAATATGGGCTGGGCACGGTGGCTCACACCTGTAATCCCAGCAATTTGGGAAACCGAGGCAGAAGGAAGGCTTGAGCCCAGGAGTTCAAGACTAGCCTGGGCAATACAGCAAAAGCTTGTCTCTACAAAAAATAAAAGATAAAATTAGTCAGGTTTGGTGTTGCACACCTATACACCCAGCTACTCGAGAGGCTGAAGTGGAAGGATTGCCTAGGCCCAGGAAGTCGAGGCTGTAGTGAGCCATGACTGTGCCACCGCACTTCAGCCTGGGCAACAAAGTGAGACCCCAACTCAAAAAATAAAAAATTAAAAAGTGATACAGATTTATCCTACTGAGTAAACAGATTTGGTTAAAAGAAAAAGGAGGAGACAGAAATCCACTAGAGCAATACTGATTTTTAGAACTTAAATTCCTTTCCATTTTCTTTGACAACTATGAAAGCAGGGTACTCTTCATTTGTGTTTGTGACCCCAACTGAATTAACACCCTAATTAGTGTATATTACCTGCATTAATATACACTAATACTAGGGAATATACACTATTACTCTGGCTAATATACACTAATATCAGTGTATATTACCTTACGTAGTATATATTACCCCAGGTAATATGTTACCCTAGGTAATATATACTACTCTTTGATCAGACTTCTGCTATGTCTCATAAACTCAACACCCAGAAATTCTCAACTTGGGGAAAAAAAGATATTCCTAAGAAGACCAGAAAAAAAATACATTGTAGCCAATAAAATCAAAAGTAGGAAAGAAACAGATTTATCAATAAAAACCACCTCTACTTTTATTAACAAGTCATCTTTTTGTTCTATCAGTAAGTTAAGGTACGACATCCATAAAGAATAAGTGATTTTTATTTCCTTTAGTGAAAGTATTTGTAAATAAAATATTACCTTGCTAGCTTACTGAGATCCTGCTCTTCAGCAATTAAAGACATTGAATTGTCTCCCACAGCTTCCTCTCCAACCCTTCCTGATGGTCCAACTTCTTCTAATTCGGCATTTTTTTTTGCCAAACCAGACTCTTTGGAATCTACACAATCTCTTGTTGACAAAACCTCCAGAGATGTCATAAGCTCAGACTTTTCCTTAAATTTAAGAAGAAATTAGCTAATATTACTATAGAAACAATCTCTGTTAATTTGGTTAGGTAGTCTGGCCCAAACATCTAAGCTTACACATGTACACAAGACAACAGTTGCTAATTTTATATTACACTGCAAAGTCATTCATTTTTCATGAAAACAGTTACCATACAAAAGTCAAAACTATATTTTACTAACACTCTTCTTCAGATCCTGACACTGACACAAAAAATTGTTTTCCCCAAACCTACTTTTGGAAGGAGCTGGGTGTCAGGACTTCCTTGCTGCAGTAAATTATCTTCAGGCTTGCTTGCCTTGCTCTGCATTGCTGTGCCTTTTTCTATAGCTTGATACCCTTTTTTACCATGTGCTCTTCCCAAATTTGGTTTAGCCTTTTGGAATTTCCTTCTTATCAACTGTGCTGGACTAGGAACACATGGTTTATTTTCATGCCTAGAATGATGTACAGATCATGTTGAAGAACAAAAATCAGAATTTCTTGTTGATGCCATAGTTGTTAAATCAAACAATTCTGAATGCAAACCAATTCTATGTTCAAAGAACTACATATAAATTATCTATAAAACCAAGCACATAAAATGAAACCACACATTGATATGAAAGGAAGAACATAAAAGCTTTTAAAGGTTCCATTTTCTACATAGCCTGGGAAACAGTTTTATAATAATATTAATCTTTTAAAACTTTCAATGATTCTGAAATACGATTTCATGCTACCTTAAATATTTTCAGAGAAATAACTAGATACCAAAAGCATGCCAGTAATGAAGAAGATTTCTAATGGTACTTTTTTTTTTTTTTTAGAGTTGGAGTCTCTCACTCCGTCACCCAGACTGGAGTACAGTGGCACGCTGCCGGCCACCGCAGCCTCAACCTGCTGGGCTCCGGCGATCCTTCCACCTCAGCCTTCCAAGTAGCCAGAATTACAGACGCGCACTACCATGCCCGGCTGATTTTTTTTTATTTATTGTAGAGATGAGGTCTTGCCAAGTTGCCCGGGTGGGTCTCAAACCCATGGGTTCAGGCAATCCACTCACCTCGCCCTCCCAAAGCGCTGAGATTACAGGCTGAGCCACCGAGCCCGGCCTCTAATGGTACTTTAAACAAATGCCTTCAACTGAGCTCTAAAGCATGAACAAATACAAAATGGTAATAGCCACTTTGGCCCCTCTAGATCAAGAAGGCTTGAGGGCTACAGTCTATTCTCCAGCCATATGCCTGAAAACTCACCAAAAAGGGCTTGCTACTGAAACCAACCTGAGTTAAAAAAAAAATAATAAGACTTTGTCTCTTAAAAAAAAAAATTGGCCAGGCTCAGTGGCTCAGCCTGTAATCCTGCACTTTGGGAGGCCGAGGTGAGTGAATTGCCTGAACCCGCGGGTTCGAGAACCGCCTGGGCAACTTGGCGAGACCTCATCTCTACAATAAATCAAAAAAATTAGCCAGGCATGGTAGCGCGCGCCTATAGTTCCAGCAACTTGGAAGGCTGAGGGGGAAGGATCACCGGAGCCCAGCAGGTCGAGGCTGCGGTGCCCGTCTGGGCGACAGAGTGAGACTCCAACTCAAAAAAAATAAAAATTAGCTGGGCGTGGTGGTGCGTACTTGTAGTCCCAGCTGCTCAAGAGGCTAAGGCCAAAGGATCACGTGAGTCCAGGAAGTCAAGGCTGTGTAAACCATGATCATGTCACTGCACTCCAGTCTGAGCAACAGAGTGAGACCTTGACTCAAAATCAATAAAATAAATGAACAAAAATAAAAGATAAGAAGAATGTAAGATTTGTCTATACATGTTTCATTTTAATATAAAAAAATGAGGATGAGGACTGCTTGCTGAACTTTTCAGGGAAATTACAAATTAAGAGAACGTCAGTCATGCGATTCTCACAGTATTTGAGAAGCAGATTTAAAATACTCTAGTTTCAAAAATAACTATTACTTTATTCTTTCATAAAATTTTCAGGATGTTAAGTCATGAAATCAATTACGCAAAAATTCAACCTTTATCTTTGAAAGTTTTATGTGTTTCTCATTAAAAGCAAACTCACCTCATTTTTTCATCTAACACATGTGTTTTGTTAACATAAAGGTTTTCTACAACCACTTGATGTTGATTTTCATATATTCTGCATTCTGAAACTTTGGAGGATGCAACTTCAATTTCAGTTCCAATTTGAGAATTTGGCTGCAAAGACAAAAATCATATTTATTAGGTTTTTTTTTCGGGGGGAGGGTCAGAGTCTCACTTGTAGCCCAGGCTGAACTACAGTGGCATGCTCACAGTCAAACTGCAGCCTCAACCTACTGGGCTCAGGTGAGTTTTCTGCCTCAGCCTTCCATGTAGCTGGAACTACAGGCGTGTGCCACCACGCCTGGCTAATTTTATGATTTACTGTAGAGACGAGGTCTCGCCAAGTTGCCCAGGCTGGTCTCAAACCCCTGGGCTTAGGCAATTCGCTCACCTCTGCTTCCCAAAGTGTTGGGATTACAGGTGTGAGTCACTGAATCTGGCATTTTTTTTTTTTTTTTTTAAGGAAAACACACCTTTATTTCCATGAAGAAAGATACTTAGTTTTTAAAAATTCTTTATTAAATTTTTATTTATTTTTGAGAGGAAGTTTTATTTTGCTGCCAAGGCAGGTCTTGAATTACTGAGGTCAAGGGATCCTTCCACCTCAATCTCCTAAATAACTGGAATTACAGGTGCACACCATCGCATGAGGCTACATTTTTAAAATTAAGATTCACATGAGGTATATTATGTTTATAATCTGCTGCCAAAACAAGAATGCCTAGTTCAGAGAGAAGGTTTCAAAGATTGTATAATATGTTTACATAATCTTTAAAAGTTACAACAGTCACCTGCTGTGAAATAAAAAATTCAAGAAAATTTAATGGTTTGTGTTTTTTCCTCTCTGTTGCCCAGGCTAGAGTGCAGTAGTGCAATCATAGCTAATTACAGCTGTGAGTAACTAGGTTTAAGTGAATCTCCCACCTCAGCCTCTCAAGTAGCTGGGACTACAGGCAGGTGTCACCGTACCTAGTTAAATTTTTTTTTTTTTGGTAGAGACAAAAGTTCTTGCAATCCTCCTCCTCCCAAAGTGTTGGAATTACAGTTGTGAGCTACCATTCTTAGATGAGTTTATTTGCTTTGTTTTTTCTTTTTTTTTTTTTTTTGAGTTGGAGTCTCACTCTGTCGCTCAGACTGGAATGCAGTGGCCGCTCCTGGCCATCGCAGCCTCGACCTGCTGGGCTCCGGCG